CACACACACACACACACACACACACACACACACACACACACACACACACACACACACACACACACACACACACACAAATCCACTGGCAAACGTCAAGCGGGTTGACTGTGCCTTGCTCCCACCTTCTCGTCGAACCCTAGAGATGAAGGTACGTTGTGGACACGTGCCTGGACAGCATTTCATGGGGACGGTTTATCACAACCTATTATGGGTGGTCTCTGAAGGACAACCTATTGAAGCCAACATGGTTCGAACGTTCGGCTGTACCAGAGAACTTATTTAAAAATGGCAATAACAACCCAGATGACATGTAGGTGGGAGGTGACAGAACATATTCCGAGCTGAAAGTATTGAGCGATTCAGATGGTGAAGCATGGGGTGATGAAGACTCTGATGTGCAGGTGGAAGACGGGGAGTTCTTGTAGGAAACAACAAATTTGATAGAATGCTACGATCCAAAGTTTGGTCTATATACAGCTCGAATATTGACATGGCTGAGAACCTTTAATTAGACAACTTGTAATTATATATTTTTTTACTTTTTCTGGGGGTTTGCAAGGGGTAAAGTTAAGAAATCAAATATGATAAATGACAAAACATGATGGGTTGAACTAAATTTGATAGTTGATTATTAAAATGGAGTTTGATATACTTGAGTACTGAATGTAAATGAAGAATACAAAATGTTTAATTACTGGATTGCTAAATTAGGAGGCAATAGTGTGATTTGAAATTGTAAATGTATGCCTTATGATGTTTCATTTTATAGAAATAAAATACCTTTGTGTTAATACCTTGTGATGATGACCGTGTGAGTAATATTTTTATTTTTTATTTATTTGCCGTATGGCTTCATGAGAGAAACTGTTCAGCTGATTTTTCTTGTCCGCATGATTTTGAAGACTTCTTCTTTTTCTTCCTTCGCATTATTAGTCCCACTCAAGTGGGGTCGCTGCAGTGGACTATACCGTATATATAGCCACTATATATACACTGTATATGAGTAATGAAATTGTTGAGAAGAAGTGCTTTATATAAGGGAATAATGTTGTTTCATCAAATCAATGTGTTGTACATTCTGCAAATTAACAACATGAAAAGAAAAGGTAGAGAAGCAAAGCTGACCGATGGATCAGTGGTTTCCTCTCCAGCTAATCAGAAGTAGATAATAGGCTATTATCTACTTCGGAGCTAATCCATCTAAATAATGAAGGCCCGGGTGGGGGCGGTTGGGGGCGTCTGGTGGATACACCCACCACTGAATTATTCTGGCTGTGGTCATTCACGATACTTGGGACTATGCTGAATATTTCCCAGTGGGTTCCAAAAGGTTTCCTTTCCAGCTAATCTAGCTCAATTTTGTGGGTGGGGGCAGCTGGGGGCGTCTGGCGGATACACCCACCACTGAATTATTCTGGCAGTGGCCATTCACGATACCTGAGACTATGCCGAACATTTTCCAATGGGTGCCAGAAGGTTTCCTTTCCAGCGAATCTAGCTCAATTTTGGGGTATCGGTTTTTGAGGTCTGGCGGATGCGCCGCACCACTAAAAAATTCTGGCAGTGTCCATTCCGGATACCTGGGACCATGCCGAACATTTTCCAATAGGTTTAATGGGGGTTCCTCTCCAGCTAATCTAGCTCAATTTTGGGGTGCATTTCAAATGACCCCACTGACCACACCCACCACCGGCTGCCCGGCAGACTTCCATTTCCTTACATGGGTATGTACCCGAATCATTGCTATATGCATTGTTGAGTATGGCTATTAATATTGTTTTATTAATTGTTTGACACATCAGTTTGTAATCCCATGCTGCCACCTGGTGTCAGCCCAGTTGTGTTGCCATCTTGTGAGTATGAAATAAACTAGGTCGACCATTTTTTTGGTTACTCCCAAATTCAGTTGTGTGTTGGAGTTGTGTGTTAAAAACGACAAAATATCTCCATGTCTCCCCAACGAGGTTGCTGCGTGGACATGCATGAAAATTGGTTTCCTTTCCAGCTAGGCTGAACCCCTGTGCTCCTGCTCTATATATAGCATATCTCCCATTATATACTCTTGATAATGATATATGCATAGGTTTTGATGCGAAAATAAATGTCTCAGATCTGAAAGACTGAAATCTTAACGAGAGATGGCGCTACGACTAAATGATCGCCATTTTGGTTTTCGAATATCACGTAAATAAAAACAATAAAATATTCCAGTCAAATTACTGTAACGAAGAATCTAAAACACAATATTACACGTATATAGGTATGATTGTAGAGTTGTTAACCAGTTAGACGAAATAAACGTAATAGGACGTTGTCATCTCTCCCATAGAAGTAACAACTGTTTTGGGGCTAGCCTTACCCATTAATATACCAAAATTTAACAAAATCGAATGAATCTAGATGGGCATTTTCATTTTTGCCAAAAAGTGGGCGTGGCTCGAAAGTAGGTAGACTGGCGTGCTCCAAAATAGGACGTTCAAATCTCTCACATAAGAGTAACAACTGTATGCAATTTGAATCATGTGGGTCAAACGGTTCTTGAGTTATCGTTGACCGTAGGCAGACACTGAAATGCATAGTAAAATTGCTAAAATCTACCTAATTTGCATAATAAAAAATAAAAAAATAAAAACCTGTGTGATATGTTTTGGGGCCAGTCCTCATTCATTCACATACCAGAAATGAGCAAAATCCGTTGAACCTGAACTGACTTATGGCCATTTCCATTTTTGCCAAAACGTGGACGTGGCTCGAAAGTAGGTAGACTGGCGTGTTCCAAAATAGGACGTTCAAACCTCTCCCATAGGAGTAACAACTATATGCAATTTGAAACATGTGGGTCAAACGGTTCTTGAGTTATCGTTGACCATAGCCAAATGTTGACGGACGGACGTACGTACGACGGACGACACCCCATGGCAATAGATCATCTTGACGATGTCAAGGCGAGCTAAAAATTGGTATTTACACTCAACCCAATCATACATTGGTTAGGTGTCAGAGCTATTAGATAGTGCTGACACCTACCGTTCTTGTACTATCAGTAATTAGTATTTCTAAACTTTACCTTACTTTAATATTTTATTTTGTTCGTATATTGTAATATAATTTGTATTCTGTGACAATCGTTTGCGTTTACTGGTGGTGTCAAGAATAAAGGCATTACAATGTATATGATTGTGTTTAGTGGCATTATATAGGTTTTGTAAAAAACTACTTACGCGTATACCGTAATTTTCGTAAGTCGGCACAAAAATTCTGGTCCCAAAAGTGCTGACTTATGCGAGTTTTACTGTATTTGGGTTTAGCTTGTTATTTAAATAGATCGAACATTGGGAATTTATTTGGATTCCTAGATAATTCGAAGTGTAATTACGGCATTTTATAATCGACCGAAGATGTAATTGGTATAGTCCCGTTGGTCCTAACAGCAGACATAAATGCATTAGTTAAATATTGTCACATATGGCTAATTAATCTCACTAACTATATATAATAATTACTTTACAGTTAAATTATTACACTTAATTATGAAATAAAGTTATTTATCTATGATTAAATACTAACAGCTATAAAATGAATTACTATGCTTACTCCTATACGGTTGGTAATACCAATGTAAATGCCAATAGAATTTCACATACATAAATACCATTGATAACAAGGTTTCGCTCTTGGGCGAACCCAACACCACACAGGCTAATTTGTCATTCTGGGAAGAATCATTTGCAAAAGATAGCATGAAATCTGCGCGTAGGCCAAAATTTATCAAACAATTTACTTATATAGCATCAGCTCGGAACTCTGGTACATGCAAATGTAGCCATCGGAGAGCAGCCTTTGGGCATAGTCGGGTAAGTATGGGTCTTCACGCATTATGCGACTATAACCTTCCCCTGAGAGCCACGTGGTTAAGTCTGGACAGGCACAGATCTCTGGGATGTTATATCCATGCTCCTCACCTATAATTGCACACAGTGAAATAAAAACGAATTAACTACAGCTGCAAATTTGACGTAAGCAATATAATGAAAGAAGGGCGTATAATAATATAAAGCAAATGACAATAAAACCTCGAAACCTTGTAGTTTCAGTTCAATTTCTTCAATTTAGCATACCTACACTAGAACGCACCTCATGCACCACATTAGAGCCACTAATCACAACCATTAGCAGACGTTTCCTCTTTTGTAAGCAGCAATACTTCTCCTACACCTTCATAAGTCATATTAGAATGGCATAAATATGTAAATGTGTTTCGAGAGCTAGATAATATAGTTCAATACCTTTCCGATCAGCCATACTGTCAAAGAAGACCCATGGTGTGTTTAAGCCACTTCCACTCTTTACAAATGCCACATAATGACTTGTTGCTATGCAGACGACAGCAAAGAGTTCCAAATGCACTCTGGGAATCCTATATGGCTGCCATTCATGTGCTGTTTGCTCCTGGAGGTATTGCTGGAACTCAGATGGAACTAATATTTCTCGTGGTTCATGATTTACCGTTCCAGCGTGACTGTGCCGCTGGAAACAAATGTTACAACCAGTTACGGAATAGTGGATTATATATGACATATACATGAGCATATAAAGGATGCAGGGACACGATCAGATATTCTGGCATTATCAGTCCTTCTCAGGTTATCCAGAACCGTGCCCATTGGTAATTGTGAACTTGTGCATGCTTTTGGTTAGTTGCAAGCATGTAGGTAATTTGGTAGAGCTTTATTAATTCGCATTCACCCACATCTATACATTTTGCACGTATCAACTACAGGAATCACAAGTGGAACATAAATGAAGCACCAGTAAATGCCATTTCAAGAGTAGCTGAGAGCATCATAAATAGTAGAGGGTGTCCAATTGAAACTATGATCTTGCAAATAAATAAAAAAATAAAATGTGGGCAAATTTGGTCTCATCAATTAACGAACATGCATGGAGCTTATTATTCCACTAAGGAAATTACCATAATAAGCATAATGCCATATAAAATGGCAAATAATGCAGCCACATTCCTTCCTGTCGGAACTATTCCCGTGAAATTGGCAACCACCCGTCAAAGTGCCCCACTTTGAGTGACAATGGTTTTGGATTGGTACAGCATCGCTATACTCAATGCAAATTACCGATAACGCCCATGTAGGTGGCGCCAATTGCAGGCTGCCAGTAGTGTTTTTGTAGAGTATGTTTGCTGTGATTCAAATGTGACTTTTCTCGTGTTCTTTTAAATCGCTATCGTTTGAAGTCGAGTTATATCGCTTATAAATGTCCAGACTCATTAACAGGAATTCATTCATACAAAATGATGCGTTGCTTGTGTTATTTTAACTGTATTCAAATTGTGACTGCAACTGGTTCAGTTACGACAGCCGTGACAATATGCGTACAGTACGGCTCATAGGGTCTATGTCCCCTAGGGTACTGCCGGAACGTACCCTGGGTACGGTCCAGTATACTGGAACGTACTCTGGTAACTATCTGATATGGTTAGGGTTAGGGTTAGGGTTAGGGAGTAGGCGTAGGCGACTCCCTAGACTTGTTAGTGGAGTAGGCGATCGAGGTACGGTCCGGAATATTAGATAGTACCAGGGTACGTTACGGCAGTACCCTGGGGGACATATACCCTCTCAGCTACAGTAGGGCCTACGTTACGTTTACTAAGAACAGTTGATGGAAACCTGTAGAAAATGAGTCATTGAGTGCATGCCCGAATCGATGCAGGGTGTATGCACATCAGAGTAAAGACGGCAATACATGATGCTGCGGAGCTATGAAACAAATGAATCAGCCTGCGAAAGAACAAGTTTATTCCATCTAACGCGGTGCTGTGCAGTTTGAAAGTTTCTGGCATTCTGCGGTATAGGGGTTGCAGAGCTGGAACTCACACGAACACATCAAAGTAAAACCAGAAACCTATATTTTCAAATAAATACATGACAACAGCAGCAGAATAACAATGTACTAAATGTTTAACATACAAAAAAACAAAATGACATAAGTCCCTACACTACTAAAACAATGAGGATCTATGTATTTAGGAATTCATGCAAATGACTTAAACTTATTGTAGTAACATGGTGTCATATTTTTCACAAGTATGTATACCCCAAGTAGGTAAGCAAAGCACATATACACACACTAGCGGATTAAGGGCGGGGCAACAGGGGCACGTGCCCCGGGGCCCCCACATTTAGAGTATCCTAAAATTTACAAAACTGTCGTAATTGTGATCCACAAAATTCTTAGCATGTAACGTTGAAGTGATGCGTTTCCATTGCTGTTTCTCTGACTGAATTTTGCTGTTCAGCTGAAGGACACTTTCCCTAATACCGAAATTGCTCTGAGAATCTATCTTTCATTGATGGTCTTGAATTGTAGCGGTAAAAGGTCATTTTTAAAACTCAAGTTGATTAAAAATCACATGAGAACCACGATCAGCCAACAGAGACTGGTAAACCTCAGTATTCTCGCTATCGAAAGTGACATTTTAAATTTGTTGAAACACGATGAAATACTCTCTGAATTTGCAAGCATGAAAGTGCAGAAAAAATACAGACTATAGGGCCCCCACACAATTGGGTTAGCCGCTAGCTTTGTCAGCAGGTGGCGCAGCGGGAGTTAGAGGTGTTACAACGATTGCGCAATCAACCGGTCAGTTGAAAAGATACAGGAATCACGAATAGCCGATCGTATCGTCATAGCGATATAACCAAGTTAAAATTCCTTCGAAAAGTCTGCAGCGATCACTTCAGAGAGGCTGACTATACTAGCACACTTTTAAGTAAGTGTAATATCGAAAATAGCTTATAAACATTAGTTATTAGCTCATTTTGACTTTGAGGTTTGCAGTAGTTTTCTTGCGTATTCCATGCAGCCTAGATTATAAAAACAACTGCTAGTGTCATCATTGACAGTATTTATCGCTACAGAGCAGTATAATTATAATAGGACAATGCCAGTGGCAACGTTTAGCTGGTAATTGGTAAATAATCGAGGCCAGGTGTCTCTAGTACGAGGTACCAGTACCTGGTATCAGGTACTTGGCTATATTAATCACCGGCATTCATTCTACATGTTTTATTATTGTTATATTAAGATTAGCTCTCGAGTGCTATAGCCCTTCGTTGCCACCACGCATTTTTTAATAATATATTTTCATTGACGTTTTCTTAAATATGTCTTATTTTTAGACGAAAGAAAGAGACTCAAGGTTGACGCTGTAATGTGCATGTAAACACGCCGTCAATGCTCAAAGGAAAATCCCAACTTAATGCAGCTCGAGACAGTTGTTAGGAATAGACGTATCGCATCTAAGAGGATTCATGTAGAGAGGGTCATTGTCTAAGCATGACATTTAAAATAAATTAAAAGAGACCTGCCCCATCAGAAGATTTCTCTCGTGAAAGAATTGTTAAGGTGTGCTTCATGATTTCCAACTTTAGGCGAGCTATTGTCAGCAGTAATGCCTAGTGTCTGTAGTAAATGGCTGCATTTTAGAAATAAAGATATACATAATTTGTATTGCAGCTTGAGTCTTTGTAGCTTTAATAATCTCAATAAACATAATTATTACATAACTCCTGAGCACACACAAAAGAATCAACACCCACTTCACATATGCCCCACTAATATCACCGTGAATCTCAATAAACATATTACATATGCACACGCACGCACGCATGCACACACGTGTACCTGCACACGCACGCACACACGCACGCATGCACGTACATGTATGACCACACGCACACGCACGCACACACGTGCACGTTTACACGCACGCACAGACGCACGCATGTACGCATGTGTACGTACACACGCACGCACGCACATACGTGTACGTGCAAACGCACGCACGACGTACGCACGACGCACGCACGCCCGCACGTACATACGCACGCATGCACGCACCTGTACGTGCATACGCACGCACGCAAGCACACACGTACGCATGCACGCACGGGTACGTACACACGCACCCACGCACGCATGCACGCACGAGTACGTGCACACGCACGCACGAGTACGTGCACACGCACGCACGCACATGTACGTGCACACGCACGCACACACGTGGACGTGCACACCCACGCACACACGCACGCATGCACGTACATGTATGACCACACGCACGCACGCACATGTACGTTCACACGCACGCACACACGCGGACGTGTACACCCACGCACACACGCACGCATGCACGTACATGTATGACCACACGCACGCACGCACGCACGCATGCACGCACGCATGCGCTTGTACGTGCACACGCACGCACGCACGCACACACGTGGACGTGCACACCCACGCACGCACATATGTTGTCAGCGCAAATATAGGTGGTGTACGACAGTAGGGGCTCTTCTGCAGGTCATACATGTACCTACATACATACATAAATCTCAATACACATATTACATAACTCCTCAGCACACACACAAAAATAAACACCCACTTCCCCCACTCTATCCCGGTTGCGCACATGGGTACGCGGATAATCTTCACCTCTGCAGATGTGCTGCCCTCCAGCAGCAACTGTTTCTAGCGGCTAACCCCATTGCGTGCCCCGGGCCCCCCACACGCTTAGTCCGGCCCTGTATACACAGGTAGATATCCCTTCCTTAATCATCAACTGGTTCTGACAGTACCAGCATTGACAGGAAAACCAGTTAGGCAATACCTAATGAGTGTACGGAAACACATATTTCACACCCCCTATATATGGTAATATAAAGATAGCTTCCTGTACATAAATTTTATATTATCATAGCTTAATTTACAGTTGTTTACCTACCACCTTATACACTCCCCCCATCAGGCCCGTAGCCAGGGGGGTTCGTGGGGTTCGCACGAACCCCCCCCGAGCCCCCCCCCCCGAGCAAAAAAATAAAATAAATTTTTCCATTTGAAAATTTGCAAGAATTTCACCTGAGGTATGCACCAGATCGCTCCATTTTAGTATAATTGCAAAATCTCTGTCGTGTCGGAGGGAGGACACCCCCTCCCACTGCTCGGTAGCTATGCTCCCTCGCTCGGTCACTTCGCGCCCTCACAAATTTCCATCATTTAAAAACGAAACCCCCCCCAATATAAAGCTGGCTACGGGCCTGCCCTCATGACACCAATGCTACACATGTGTACGTGTGCAAGCATGTTTGCATGTGTAGCACCATGTCTTCATTGTAACATGACATATGGAAATTGATTGTTGGGGACGGGTACATGAAAATATGCATACACGTAATATTACATCAGCTTTGATTCAAGTTCGAGTACAAGTATGACAAAGTGTGTACCGGTATGTATAATAAACATTGGAGCTGCTGCTCTCAGTATCTATGCGAACTCCTGCAGCTATGCGAGTAACCATATTTCTGGCTAACGCTCCATTAGGAGTGTTCCCAACTTTGATATCATTAATGATTAATGATTAATGATTGATAATCCTAACCCTAACCCTAACACTAACCCTAACCTAAATGACATTAAACCACAAACTAATATATGACCATGACCATATAAATATATATATATATGTTATTATGACCATTAATGACATTAAAGTTGGGAACACTCCTAACGGAGTATCACCCCTATTTCTTGCTAATATATCCATGTAAATTGCCAAGAGTTGAAAACAATTTAGTAAAATACCTGTATTATGCATTTTCTGCAAAATGAGATGTTTTCCAGGCATTCTCCAAACTGGCGGAAGCACTGCTTGCATTCTAACTCTGCCAGCATACCACACATACTGCACTGACGTGGTGCTAACAAACATGAAATACACAGAAATGAATGCGAGAGTATGCAATGGGGTCAGCTGTGCATATCCCCAATAACGTCAAGCACAGAACGCACACAAGCTACACGGAACATAATTCTAGTGATAGGTGGCTTTCTTCATATGTGTACAAGAAAATTAAGCTATAATATTATCCAGTAAATTTAGCGTGGATACTTATTAGTGCCGTTCCAAAGGTTGTTTATTAGTTATTTTATCCTTACAGTCAGCATGAACTGTGGTAAAATTATGTATCTTTACAATAAAATCGGCTAACCCATTAAAACATTTTGGAATATAAACATGTAAATGAATGAGTTTGACAGGATTTGAGTCTTGGTGACTGGAGTGGCCCCACTTCATGGTTATACAGTATATAATATGTCTGTTTTTTTTATCTTGGTAACACATGATTAAGCTGTGTACGTATAGCTACAAAATGTAAAATCCAGAATGCAGGTTTTCCCTTTCATCAGCATAGGCTGGTCTTGACATAAAATTTTCCAAGGGTTTTTCATGGGCAACCATTTTCACTACGTTGCAATTTATATAGATGCTAATTTTCATTGATGAAAATAAATTTACTCACAATTCTCTAGCACATCTGTTATGTCAAGAACCAGTGAAGGTACAATGCGCTTGTACATTTTGTAATCTTTCCCAAATCGTGGCATCTGGATGATGAAGCATGACGGAATCTGTTAATAACAGGAATATCGGCAATAAGATATAACTCAGTAAAAACTACTAAATCTGAATACATTGAATGGATTCTGGCAACACATACAAATCAGGTTGCACTGATAGTCCAAGAGAAATCAATAAACTGATTACACACTTTTATTATACATTCAGAGATTATGATATGTAGGTCTATCAGAGATAGTGGTGAGAAAATGAAGCCAACGAATCTCTCTTTACTTTCATTTGTCATTGAATTTTACGCAAGCGCAAAGATCAAAATATTTTTAATGTGTCTGAACTTAACAGTGAATGAGAATCTATTGTGAAGTTGCTGAACTGGTTTACAGAGACACAAATCACGTGGGCTCAAGGATAGAGAACATGGGTCCCAATAAAAGACGGTTTTTTCTGCCGATAGATGGCGCCACTATGCTATATACACTGTGTGCTATGTGCGACTTGGATATATACAGAGATATATATAAATATATATATATATAAATATATATATAGATATATATATGTATATATACATATATATATATATATATATATGTACATATACATATATATATGAGATATATATATACAATACATATATGATACCATATCCCACACTGTTATAATATATATATATATATATATATATATATATATATATATATATATATATATATATGCGGATACACACATATACACACATATATACGCACATATACACACACATACACACATATACACACCTCCCCCCTCCCCCTCTCCTCTCTCTCTCTCTCTCTCTCTGCGTGCGACTCTGCGACTGCGACTACGTACTTTCCCTATGCATAAATATAAAGCCTGTGCGACCACACACTTTGACATGCCGATGTGTGAGATGGTGAGTAGGGATGTATATATAATATATATATCCTTATGGTGGCGAGAAAGCGGCGTATAGGTATGTATATACTTGGGCAATGTGGAAGTGCTTGCGACTCTTGCGACCGATGCATGGATATAAAAGCTGTACGACCAGAGACTTTCACATGGGGATTTATATATAATATTGATATCATTGTGTTCCCGAGAACGGCATATATAGGTATGTATATACTTGAAAGGTTTGGAAGTGTAGACACAGTGGCGTCAGCGTATGAATATAAATCCTTGCGACGGCACAGAATGAATGCGGATGTATATATTCATAGATATATAGCTCTTTAGCATGTATATATATACGGTCGCTGTGCGATCACGCGTAGCGATAAGGCGGGTAACCACGTGTTGCACCGAGTTTTTATGTGACGAGCGAGCGAGCGAGCGACGCGAGGAAATTAAGAGTACGTACAGCAAGGCGCATGACAATGAACAAGCGGGGGTGGGGGAGAGGGCGGTCTGCAATGCATAGACATGACGTGTCTATATGTGTGCGTGTGTGCGTGCGTGGGTGCGGGCGTCGCGCGTCGGGGCGTTGCAGCCATCAGAAGATCGCGTGTACTGCATCAATGGACATGACGTGTGTATATGTGTGAGCGTGTGTGCCTCATTAGATGGTATGGGACGAATGATGATTTAATAGGTGTGTAGGGTAGCTATAGGGAGTAGTACGATAATAGTAGGATGAAGAGCCCATCAACCCTCCCCAATAAGGGGTTAATAGGCTGTTTGTAGGATGGTTCTACCCACGTAGTAATGAGTAGGCTGGCGTGTATTGCATGAATGCATTGGCTGTTGAAGTGGCATATCGTGCGTTGCGTCGCCGTTCTTCGATACCGACGGGGCTACTGTATGCGGAGTGCTGTGTGTGTTTGTGTGCGTGCGTGCGGGCACGAGTGCGTGCGAGCGTGCGTGCGTGCGTGTATGTGTGACTGTGGATGACGGTGTGACTGTGAGCGTGCACTGCAGAAACGAGAAGAACCCTAACCCTAACCCTAAGCCTAACCCTAACCCTAGCTAACACACACACGTACACACCCCACTACACACTACAGGCTACACAGCGATCTAGACAGAGGTGCGCGCAGCAGCTAAATTGGCAGCTGGGAGGGGGGGGGGGTGGCACTGTATATGACTACCGTATGGAGCTTTACGCGCGGCTAGCGCGCACCGGCCGCAAGAGAACTGCTGCTGCTGCTGTTGCTGCTGCCGGGAGAGGCCGAGCGGGCGGGCGAATGCATAATATTGCCGCGAGACACAGCAGGGTACAGTCAATAACAATGGCGTATCTTGTGGGCGGTATTTTATGAGTTCGCCAAAAAAGATCGAATAGCAACGGATTTCCAGGTAATTTAATGCGGAGAGCAAGTAATATGAATCCGTTAATGGCACGCGCAAATACCGACATAGATTTCAGGGCCCTAGCAGAGGAAAGTGTCGGGAAATGCTCGCGCGTCGCAATGGTCAGAAACGGCCGAAAACGGCCGAAAACGGCCGAAAACGGGCGGGTAGGGTCGCTTCAACGCATTTTTTCGACACTTCCTGTTAACTCACATCATGTTTATCGGTTGAAATGAACAAAGAACACTCTCACCAGTACCCCTGTCGATTTTAAAGGGGCTACCCCCACATTTACGAAAATGACAGGTTTCAATGGGCCCATGTTCTCTATCCTTGAACCAATCAGGCCCACAATCTACGGTAATAAATGGTTAACCCAAGTGATTTTTATTACTATGCACTGCTTATGAAGTTTGAGATGTTTAGGTTTACCCCATTAGGGTAAATCCTGTTTCAATTCTTTTTACTCCCAGTAATTAGCTACCTTTATCTGTGTTACACCCTGGTCCCCAAAAGCACACATTCTGCAAAGTAGATGCAATTTTGCAGGACATTGTAAACTTGGTGGGTAGATTATACAGACAGTACTAGTGGGACAATTTTTGATGAACACAGATTCGTAAGAGTTCAAACAAAACCTGTGGCATATATCCATGACAAGAACCTGAACTATCTTTGGACTACCAGGATAGGCTAAAGTCGACCACTATAATAATCCTAGTGGCTCGAGCAATAAAACTACTTCGATGAGTCACTACCAAAGTAGCACAACAGAAGGAAATTGCGATGTATCAAATGGTACGTAACAGTTGCTGTGCAAAAACAATATAAGAGGTATGAAGGAATACTAAAAAATGGCATCAGGTAGTTGTCAATGATGGTATTAGTTTTCTTGCCACTGGGAGTAATTATACTGGCGACTGTCACGTTCAGTGATGTGTATCGTGTTTGTGTTCTCTGCCACCAGGGGTCAGTACAGTACGACCACGAGAATCGGGTGTTGCTATCCCCCGGGCGTGGAGGGAGGTCACGTGATAACGTTGGCGATGACGTTCAAAACGTTAACCCTAACGGTAACCCTCACTCCAACACCGCCAACACTAACCCTCACATTAAATATATATGTGTCGTCGCGCTATATATAGGCATTGTGATCCAGAAAAATTAATCTATGGTGTGGGGACAGATATCATGATGCAAAAACCCTAACCCTAATCCTAACCCTGGCCCTAACCCTAATCCTAACACTATCCCAACACTAGTGCTGCCACGTTGCGGTCACCTCCCTCCACGCCCGGGGGATAGCATTACCCACGAGAATCCACGCTGGTAATGCTATCCCCCGGGCGTGGAGGGACACCGCAACGAGGCAGCACTAGTATTAGGATTAATATTATTAGTATTAGTATTAGTATTAGTATTAGGTTAGGTTTAGGGTTAGGCTTAGGGTAAGGGTTAGGGTTAGGGTTAGGGTTAGTGTTAGAGTTTTTGCATCATGATATCTGTCACCACATCATAGATTAATTTTTGTGGATCACAGAACCTATATATAGCGCTCCGAGATATATATATTTAGTGTTAGGGTTATCGTTGGAGGTGTTGGAGTTAGTGTTACCGGATGAGTAATGATTTTGAAGTATACGTCAACTGTATCACGTGACCGTCCCTCCACGCCCGGGGGATAGCAACACCCAATATACGCTACCCCATGTAGTCACGTTAATTGTGTAGCGACGCTGCGCTCCAGCTCATTCATTAGGCACATTGCCGAGCGAGCAGAGAGCAGGCAACAGCCGGTAGCGGGTGCGACAGGTGGCATAGGTGTCGAACGGTGACTAGAGTCAATAGTCACTTAAGAGAGCAGAGAGCGGGGTACGTGACACGCGACACTATGGGATGCGGCCCTCGCAAGACGGGGGTCGGCAGAATAGGAACCTGGACAGCCCAAGAGGTGACAGGATAATGCCCGGATGAAGGGCACAGGAATCGCCGATGTATATAAGGCGAGCGGCACACAGACACGGGGAACCCTACTCGCTCTATCCCCGTGTCGTCATCTGTCACAGTTGTATTTGTACGCTACGTGTCGTATTACCTTGAATTATCATGGCTAATAATACAGTCGCTTGTGGTATGTTACTTCTCTAGTACGGCCATGATCAAACGCGAGTTTAATACTCGTCAATGATAGTTGCAGTTTAGTGAGAATTATAAACTCGTGCTGCGTGGCAGCTTGCCAATTTGTCATTTTAACCATGATCGTGTTAACTGCAGCCGTGAGTCGCTTCGTTCGATACAATAACGCGGATATATTGCGCTTGTTCAACTCGGTTTTAACTCGTGTGTAATTCATGACCGTAAGCGAATCATCGAGGGCAGCAAGAATTGATTGCTGTGTAACCCCGACAGACAGGATACGTTGCTGCAACGCATCGAGGTCTTCCTGCGGCAATTATCGCACGCTTATCTCGGCCGTGATGCATTGAATGCAAATCATCGAGCTGCTGTGCCATGACCCGAAGGCGTTGATTAAACCACAACTCGTGCTCTGTGAGTGCCACGCGAGCGATGCCGTTGGACAAGATTCAAACTGATGATGTCTAAAAGAGGCTAGCTGCCACGTTTCTAGATGGCTTAAACTCCGTCCCCACCCAAAAGATGCTTTTGTCTCGCAAGCCGCAAACCCTGTCCCACGCTATCGAATTAGCCGCTGATGAGGCGTTCATAGAGGCGGGTCTGGCGATGCGATTGCGCAACA